GGGGGAGGGAGAGAGGGAGGGGGGGAGGGAGAGAGGGAGGGAGGGAGAGAAAGAGAGAGATAGAGAGGGAGGGGGGGAGGGAGGGAGAGGGAGGGGGGGAGGGAGAGAGAGAGAGAGATAGAGAGGGAGAGAGAGAGAGCGAGATAGAGGGAGAGAGGGAGAGGGAGAGAGAGATAGAGAGGGAGAGAGGGAAAGAGGGAGAGAGGGAGAGAGAGGGAGAGAGAGGGAGAGAGAGGGAGAGAGAGATAGAAAGAGGGAGAGGGAGGGAGAGGGAGGGAGAGGGAGAGAGAGGGAGAGAGAGAGAGAACGCAGCGGTCGCAAGGCCCTTCTGCGAACGCCCTTTCCGCACCCGCCCGGCCCCGCCACGGCAACGGCGTTCGGGGAAAACAATCAACGTTTGGTCATCCCGCCATCCGCGTAGTGGTTGGGGCGTGGCGGGGCGTGGTGGGGCGTGGTGGGGGCGGGGTGGGGCGTGGCGCGCGGTCACCGCACAAATGAGCCAGAGGGCCTGGCAGCAGATTACTACTGCTGCAGGGATTATAAACCTCTGTTCGACCGTCCACCCGACCGCCCTACCACCCTGCCGCCACGCCCCAGCGTCGCCATCCCCGCAAGCCCATCAAATTTGGGGAGGGGTGCCAGAAAAGTGATAATAGCAGTAGAAAGGATAATGATGATATGTATACACGTAAGCGGACCAGTGCGTACATTTCCATCTACAAACAATCAAACTGCCTGCAAAGTAAAGGTTACGTATTGCACACTGTTTTCTTCGCAGATAGCGATAAAATCACATTATCGTGAAAAAAGAGGCCAGAACTTTTAGTGTGTGTTGTTTTTTTGTGAAATAAAAACTCCTTGTTGTTATCAAAAATTTATATACACTTCTGGGGGATTACGACTCGTCCACAACTATTTCAATTTGGGAAAGCAAAAATGCTCAAAGTTCACCGGTGCTCCGTGTACCGAGAAAAATATATCATCAAACAGTGTTCGACTTCAGCGCGACTGCCACGGCGCCTGTGAGGTAGGCGACGACGATACGCACAGGAGAGGCGGGTCAGCCTGACTGCAAGGCGGTCGAGTGTGTGCTGCTGCGCGGGAGGTGAGGGCGAGCGAGTGAGAGGGTGAGAGGGGGGGAAGGGAGGGAGAGAGAGATAGAGAGGGAGGGGGGGAAAAGAGAGAAGATCGCGCGGGCCTATTTCTTCAACAACAAATAACTAACATCGCCGCCAAGACCGGCCCGGGCAATAGCGGTCGGGAGAGGGAGAGCGGGGGTGAGTGGGAGGGGAGGAGGGGGAACTGCTGCTCTGCGATGCCGCGGACGCCACCGCGGGCTCCAGTGCCAGGACGCGGGCCCGGAGCCCCCGCTCAGCGGGCGCGCTACAAGCATGCGAGAGATATATGGGGGAGGGCGGATCAGCTCAGCGCCGGCTCAGGTTCGCTTCTCTTCTCCGGCCAGACGGAGACAGAGAGAGGAGGAGGTGGAGGAGGAGATTGAGCGATAGAGAGAGAGATGGTGTAAGCAAAAGCGAGATGGGCCGTGATAGAGAAGGGCGGCTCGCCTGGTCGATAGGGACGATGATTAACGATGCGCGAGAGGGACAACGGCGGGCCAGCGAAGCGAGCGCGGCACGAGCGCGGCACGAGCGCGGCACGAGCGCGGCACGAACGCGGCACGAACGCGAGCACGAACGCGAGCACGAACGCGAGCACGAACGCGGCACGAACGCGGGCACCAAATTCGGTACAAATATTTGCGCAGGGTTGTAAATTTTCTAAAATTCCCGGAAAATTTCCGAAAAATTCCCCAAAATTCCCCAAACTTTCCAGGGCTTCCAACCCTATATTTGCGTGCACAAAAAGCAAGGCGCGTGCGCGTATCCATACCTGCTTTACTCACAGTCGTCGTAAACAACTAACTTTATTTTTATATTACATATTATTTCCACCCGCGCAAGCTGCTGCTCGGCCTCGGCGCGTTACGGGGGAGTCAACGACCTCCTCCTCTTCCTCCGTTACAAAACGACACGCCGCTATCGTTACTCGCGTCGTCGTCCCCGCGACTGCGAAGTAGTAGCAGTGGCCGCCTCCTCTCGATATCCCCTGCGGCGCCGCGCGCGCTCACAGCTTTCAGAAGGCGGCAAGAGAGAGCTTTTAGGCGAAAGCCCCGCGAAGGAGAGAGAGAGAGCGCTCGGCGACAGCTAGGCGACAGCGGCACGCCTCGCCATCGACAGTCTGCGTGGTGTTCCGCAATAAAGGATGACGCGACCAGACACGGAACGCCCCGCCTCCGCCTCCGCACAGCAGCGAGCCTGCTGTGGCGCGTTATGTATCATGGGGGTGGGGGTGAGGGCCGCAGGCGAGGCGGATCGGGGTGGGGCGGGGTGGGGCGGGGTGGGGCGGGGTGGGGCGGGGTGGGGCGGGGTGGGGCGGGGTGGGGCGGGGTGGGGCGGGGTGGGGCGGGGTGGGGCGGGGTGGGGCGGGGTGGGGCGGGGTGGGGCGGGGTGGGGCGGGGTGGGGCGGGGTGGGGCGGGGTGGGGCGGGGTGGGGCGGGGTGGGGCGGGGTGGGGCGGGGTGGGGCGGGGTGGGGCGGGGTGGGGCGGGGTGGGGCGGGGTGGGGCGGGGTGGGGCGGGGTGGGGCGGGGTGGGGCGGGGTGGGGCGGGGTGGGGCGGGGTGGGGCGGGGTGGGGCGGGGTGGGGCGGGGTGGGGCGGGGTGGGGCGGGGTGGGGCGGGGTGGGGCGGGGTGGGGCGGGGTGGGGCGGGGTGGGGCGGGGTGGGGCGGGGTGGGGCGGGGTGGGGCGGGGTGGGGCGGGGTGGGGCGGGGTGGGGCGGGGTGGGGCGGGGTGGGGCGGGGTGGGGCGGGGTGGGGCGGGGTGGGGCGGGGTGGGGCGGGGTGGGGCGGGGTGGGGCGGGGTGGGGCGGGGTGGGGCGGGGTGGGGCGGGGTGGGGCGGGGTGGGGCGGGGTGGGGCGGGGTGGGGCGGGGTGGGGCGGGGTGGGGCGGGGTGGGGCGGGGTGGGGCGGGGTGGGGCGGGGTGGGGCGGGGTGGGGCGGGGTGGGGCGGGGTGGGGCGGGGTGGGGCGGGGTGGGGCGGGGTGGGGCGGGGTGGGGCGGGGTGGGGCGGGGTGGGGCGGGGTGGGGCGGGGTGGGGCGGGGTGGGGCGGGGTGGGGCGGGGTGGGGCGGGGTGGGGCGGGGTGGGGCGGGGTGGGGCGGGGTGGGGCGGGGTGGGGCGGGGTGGGGCGGGGTGGGGCGGGGTGGGGCGGGGTGGGGCGGGGTGGGGCGGGGTGGGGCGGGGTGGGGCGGGGTGGGGCGGGGTGGGGCGGGGTGGGGCGGGGTGGGGCGGGGTGGGGCGGGGTGGGGCGGGGTGGGGCGGGGTGGGGCGGGGCGGGTCGTCCTGATGTTATGGAAATTAACTGCTCGAATCCGGTCCGATGTATCGCGCGGGGGAGAAATGCGATGTTTTGATGGGTCGCCGTCGTGTCGCTTTACGTCACCCTCTTCTTATTGGTTTGCGCTTTCTTTCCCATTTTTCTGGGGGGTGGAAGCGAGGGGGAAACGACTAAGGTAATCCGGCTGACAGCCGTTAGGTAATCCGGCAGGGGTAATCCGAGGAAATTCTAAAAAATCCGGGGTAATCCGGGGAAATTTTTGGGTAATCCGGGGTAATCCTAGAGAAAAAGCAACGTAATCCGGAGGACACTCCGGAGGTAATCCGGGTAATCCGTAATCCGGCTGACACAAAGTTTAACAGTCGTTTCCCCCTCGGGTGGAAGCCATGGAAAGTTTCCGGAAAGTTTCTGGTAAATTTCTGGAAAAGACCGAAAATTTCCGGGGGAAAATGGAAAATTTCCCAGATTTGGGAGAGTTTTTCGTTATTTTCCGTATATTTCCGGAAAGTTTCTGGAAATTTTCCGAAAAATTTTGGAAATTTCCAACCTAAATTTTTCAGAAAGAAAAAAATAATGTCTAACTGACATTCTGACTGCGTCTGGCGTACGTTTAAGATAAGATGATGTAAATTAAAACGTTAACTATTGTTGTTAACAGCGTGTAAGACACTATCCATATCCTCATTCGAAAGCATGTAATTTGTGTAAGTTGCATGACTTTCTCCCGAAAGTTCTATCTTTTATTGAAACATGTGTTTTTTAATCTGTGTTGGCAGGATGCACGCGTAGTCCAGGGGGGGATGCCCGCGCCCCCCCGGCCCCGGGGGCCACAGGCGGGGCCGCAGGTCAAGGCACGGGCCCGCGGGCCCCCGGGGGGCTGGCTGTGCGCGCTCGTGCTCGTGCTGCCCCTCACCCAGGCCGCGCTGCCTCCCGTCATCAGAATAGGTAAGTAGTTGGGGGCCGGCGACCAAGAGGAG